ATAAATTAAATAAATTCAAACTCAAAATTTTCAAATTCCAAATATAGGGTAATTGACTCGTGGCTCAACTCTCTATTTTTATTTTATTTTTTAAAAAGGTCGTCGAGCTTTCGTAATCACAATTGGCCCTTCGGGGGGAAAGCTGACTAGTTGCAATGATGGGGTTTTTTGAAAAGGTTTTGAAATAAAATGTTATGAGTCACCTCCAATTATTTTTAAGGTACGATTGGAACACCTAAAATTGAGTAATTTTAATAAAACATTTTTATTTTATATAAAAAAATTTGGAATACATAAACCAAAAATCAAATTTGGGAATCGGTTACGCGTGGGGAAGGATTAACACACCCGTAGCACTGGGAAATTGATACCTAGTTGATTACCCTAGAGTTAAAATTATAAATTTTGAGTTGGAGGCTTTATTTAATTTAAAAATCATTATGGATGTCGAGTATGGAAAAAGATGTTGATTTACAAAGAAATCATGATATGGGGTTTTGAAAAGGATGTTGACTTACTTCGGGAATTACCATTGGTCACCCCCTGAGCATAACGCATATGATACACTATTAATTCATTAATAGATGATTCTAATTATACTAGGTGAGTTAATTAAAGGCAAATCCTAACTTAAAGTGTCGATTATGAAATTTAAAGAACCTAAAGATGAAAGCTCTAATATTAATCCTAATTTATTTTAACCAATTATTGAGTCGAATAATCAAAATGGTCCTTTTGGCAAGTTAATATGAAAGCAAATTAAAATTACTCCCTAAATTGAAGGACTAAAGTGATATTAAACCTAAAATGGAGGCTCTAAAACCTAAATTTAAGGACTAAACCTAATATTTAAGTATTTTAATTAATGAATGAATTCAAACAAATCTAAATATAAATGGTTCAATCTAAAATTAAGACTCTAAAACTAAACTGGAAAGAATTGAAAATATGGATCTAAAGTTAAAAGGCATCAAATAAAGGACTAAAATGCACAAAATTAAAATATAAACCTTAAATTAAGAAAGAACTAAAATTTTAAGGATTAAAATGTAAATATTGAAAAGTTAAAGAAAATTTTAAAATAAAAACAATTTAAAAGAATGAAATGTAAATAACAAAAATTAACGAATCGAATGAAAATTAGAAGTTACCATTTCGCAAGTTAGAAGTTAGCGATTAATTTAAATATTTATTTGTACCATAATAATGTGGATCTTAGCCCATAGTAGCTCACCACAATGTTGTCGAATAATTCGAATAAAAAATGTTAGCAAGTTAGAGGTTAGTAAATTTGTAAGTTAGGGTTAGTAATAAAATTAATATAGGGATTAAATTGCAATAAAAATAAATAAAATACAATAAGTAAATTCAAAATAAAAAAAGAATAGTGGCCAAAGTAAAATAAACGAAAACAGAAAATCAAAACTGCAATAAATGAAAAAAAGAATAAAGACCAAATTAAAAATAAATCAAAATATTGCACTCAATTCTAAACAAATAGAGGAAAGGACAAACTAAGGACTAAAATGTAAACACGTAGGAATTGTTAGAGGACTAGATATTGATTTAACCTAAAACTCTTAATATAAATCTAATCTTTGTCAATTTTAGTAATCCTTTATCCTAAACCCATAAGGAGCCACAACTTTCAAATTTTTCTTCCCCAAATTCCTACTCTCACATGGCCACACACCTCACAGTAACCCATAAGACTCTGTTCGAACGCCAATCAATAGCCATTGAGTAACACGAACCTAAAAAGGGTGCCTATTTACTTATTTTTTACTCACCCTTCTCCTTTCACGATCATAAGCTCCCTATAACCCCAAGGCCCAGCGACAATCTCCTTCTCTAAACCCCGATGGACCTAACTTTGGTGAAGCTCGACCAATAAGGTAAGTAACGGCCCTAACCCTTTTATTGTTGCATTTTGTTTCGAGAAAACAAAAAAGATTCCTCTGTTCACTCTATTTTTTAATTCGAAAGAAAAAAATAGATAAAAAATGGTTGTTGCGGATTCAAAACAAAAAGGTGAAAAAAACCCTTAATGAAACGTTTGTATTACCCTTTGGTTTTCTAGGATTTTCTTTGAATTACAAAATTTATCACCCTTTACAATCTGATTTTTAGGGGTTATATAACCCAATCGAGGGTAGAAGTGTGGACAACAAAAAGAAATATTCTCTCCTTTTTTTACAATTTTTTTGGAAAATTTTACAACTTGGGCTTTTCTTTACTTGCATGGATTGTTAATTTGGCGGGAGACCATTACCGGATGTTGCCATGGAGACATTAGAGGGCTCGAGAGAAGGGGCCAACCTTGCTGGCACTGACGTGGAAAGCTAAAGTCATCTCATTTGGCTAACATGTCTGCTGGAACCCATATTTGGGATCACTGGTGTATGATTTCTCAATTGGGGAATCAGAGAGATGAGGGACCGCGTATGGGAGATGAAAAGTCACGTGCTCTGCTGGAACAGGATGTTAGAATACGCTCAAAGACCAATTATATGATGATTGTATGCACACATTTTATTTACCGATTTTATAATAATATGTTTAAGATTAACGTGTTATTGATTGATGACAAGGAATTGTCATTGACATAGAGATATCTGAATCGATGCATGAATATGTTGTTAGAGAACAACATATTGGATTGACCCACTATGAGCATGTTTCTTGGATTATTATGTGATGGTCACAACATTGCTCATGGTAATGACTATTTGTATGATCCTCAAACTTGAGATCATTACTATCTCAACATATATTGTTATATGTTTTGATACAGTTGAACATACTCCATAATTGCTTGCACTATAAAGACTGATATTGAACATATTTTAATATATGTAGTGGGATGTGAATGATTAAGAAAGGATTTATACTTCCTACATAATAGAAAATATATCACATTCCACTTGATTGAGTGAGATTAGAAATGCATGGACATGTTCAAATAAGTTCATATGAGATATCACAAATTATTCGTTAATTATAGTCTACTCTAGCTATCAAAAATAATAGATGTGTCATACAAGTGTAAATATTTCAAAACTTTTGCCTATTCTAGTTATAATGGAAAAAATTATGTAATACACAAAAGAGTCAATCACAAAGATGATATGTCGAATCATGATTTCTTGTAACTTAGGTGACAATGATATATTGCTAGATGTCACTCATTATTTGTAATGTTAGAATGGTTCTAATAATTACTACTAATGTTAAAAGAACCTACAAGGTCACACCCTAAGGTTGAAATGAGAAAGTATTAAATTGTACAATATAATTATAGTTAATATATGTATATTTGATATACATATAATTTAATTGTCCTAAATAAAATAAGTGGACATTAAAAGAATGTATTTCTTATTACAACTCTTTTAATGAATATTTAATTTAAAATAGTTAAAGAAGATTTTATTTCGGAATAATTAAAATAAGATTTTAATTAATTCATAATTAAAAACTATAAAGGTTAGGGTAATTCGTGTATATAAAGATAAGCAATGGTCTAGCAGTCGTTTCTTGATCTTTTTAGCCGATTTTCTCAAAACTGTTTTTGAGAAAAGTAAAAAATATTTGCTCTCAATCGGGTGAACTAAGTAGAGGCCGAGGCGTTTTCGTGGAGGCTTACAATTCAAATTGTTCATGATCGTTATTATCATTGCTACAATCTTACTATTTTTCATGGAACCCAAAGTAAGTAATAGTATCCCTTTCCTTCCTTTTTTGGTTTTATCGTACATGGATCGCTGGTGAGACAGTCGTGTTTGTTACCGCTGCGCCATGGGGTTATCTAACAGTTCCAGTAGTGGTATCAGAGCCACTTGTATAATCTAGATTCGGGTTGAAATTCTTGATTGATGCGATATGTATGAGATGCATGATTGTTTTATCTTTTTCGGCGAGTATATATGATATAATTGTTAAATTCGATAAAAGGCACGATTAATATGTTAATATGTTTAATGAACTTTACAATCAGTGGTTAAGAGTTAATCATGTATTTGTTGCTTCAAGGGTTTATGATATTAACATGTTAATTGTTGACATGGTGATCGGTGGGTACGTGATAGCAGATCGCGACTGGCAGAGGAGCAATGGTTTTTTTGATGCGGAAAACCTTCGGGATTGAAAAATCCCAAAAACTATGATTCTGATGATAAATATTATCAAATCGTGAGGTTTTTCCATAGAAACAGTAAGTGATGTTTCTCAAAATTTCTGACTGACCGCTCTCCTTGACCCTTCCATAGGCAACATAGATTGTAGGCCCATATTGGTAATTTTAACAAATGCATAATAACATATATATGATATGTTTGATTTGCAAGGTGTTTGACATTCATGGTTATAGCCCTTTTAATATGCAATGGTTGTACTTTTATAAATACAGTTTGCGTGTTGTGCCTCTTAATAATTCAGTTGTATTTCTCTTCTTACCTTACTTCCTCATATGTAAAATGAGTTTCTGAAATTTTAATCGTATGAAGTTTCAAAAGAGCATAAGAATTTGAGAAGCAATCTTAGGTTTTAGGACTCTTGGTTCTCCCATTGGCTTGGGATGGGCCACCTTAGTTATTGTTATTTTGGGCTATAACCATTGCATCTTATTTACTGCTTATGTTTATCTTGTATGCAATGCAAAGTATGATATGTTAGCATGATAATATAAGAATGAACCTTGATGAGATCAATAAGGGTCTAATATTAAAACGAACAATTACGAGATAATTACGCAAATCCCTCTAAATAAACTAAGTTAATTTTAATCGTCCAATATTTACCCTCGTTAAGGCTTGATTGACATTATGTGGGTTTTGCCAAAGCAATGGAACATGAATCTATCTTAGTTAAACGCGAAGAATAAAAAAGTGATATTCACCGGTTGAAATATTGGTAATAATTTAACTAGGTTATTCTAACATAATTAGAAACCTAGAGGTTAATAATTTGGATGAATCATAAGATGATTTGAACAAGAGTTGTCACCAAATGGAGGAGTTACATTTGATGTAATTAGTAAGGTGTTACTTACCTAAATAACCATTCTCCTAAAAGAAAAGCCAAAGCTAATTTAGGAAGATGGTGAAAAATGGATCCTCACTCACTAGAAAAACTTTCGAGATGTTTTTCTCAAAATTAAAAACATGAGGTTTTTTAATTTTAAATAAAATATTAGGAGTAATTTATTAATAAATACTTATTTATAAATTTTTAAACTCGATAAATTTACTTACATCATATATTTTCATTGTTGTGGACTTAATTGCAAACAACACACTTTTATTATGATCGATCATTGAGAAGGATAAGCTAAATGGCATAAACTTCCTTGACTGGTTCTATAATTTGAGGATTGTTCATAAACTGGAATGAAAAGAATGTGTCATTGAAGAACATGTTCCTGATGAACCGACAGATAATTCTTCTAGAGCTGACAAAGTTAAATTTAAGAAACATGTGGAAATATGTTAGTTATGGGATGTCTAATGCTTTCCACCATGACTCCCAAGCTTCAGAAGCAACATGAGGACATGGTTGCATATGAGATTATTCAAAATCTCAAGGAATTATATGAGGGGTAAGCACATCAAGAGAGGTACGAGACCTTTAAAGATCTATTTCAATGCAAAATGAGTGAGAGATCTCCTGTAGAAGCTCACGACATCAAGATGATGGGCAATATCCAAACGTTGGAGAAGCTGAGATTTCCACTCAATGATGAATTGGACACTAATGTCATATTATAATTGTTACCGGATAGCTTCAACCAATTTGTCCTTAATTTCAATATGAATTAAATTAACAAGACTTTTCCACGGTTACTTGGCATGTTATGAACTGTTGAAAGTAACATGAAAAGGTTGGACCTAAGCCCATTTCGATGGTCCGCAATGACAAAGGAAAGGGAAAAAATAAAATAGTAGCAAAGTCTGAGGGTAATGGCAAGTCCAATCCCAAAGGAAAGGATTCATTGAAACCCGTAGGAGGAGTTAGTAAGGAAGGAAAATGCTTCCATTGTGATAAGACCAGTCACTGGAAAAGAAACTTCCATGTTTACCTAGAAGAGACCAAAAAGGCAAAAGTAAACGGAATGTTTGTTTCAGGTATTTTTGTTATCGATGTTAATTTATCAACATCTACTTCTTGGGTATTAGATATCGGTTGTAGTTCTCATATTTGTACTTCTGTACAGGGACTGGAAAAAAGAAAAAACTGGCTAAAGGAGACATGGACCTACGATGGGAAATGGAGCAAGAGTTGTTGCATTAGCTATAGGGATATATGTTTTATCTTTGCCTATTGGACATGATTTAAATTTATAAGATTTTTATTTTGCACCTAGCTTGACTAAAAACATTATTTATATTTCTTGTTTGGACATGATTGGCTTTGAGATTAAGAATAATTGTTGTTATTTTTATCTTGATAATGTTTTTTATGTTTTGGTACATATGGTTAATGCTCTTTATATTTTGGATGAAGAAAATATTATTTATAACATAAAACGAAAAGATCAAAGACTAATAACTCAAATTAAACTTATCTTTGGCATTGTCGTTTAGGACATATAAGTGAGAAACACATATAAAAGCTCCATAAAGATGGATTCTTAGATTCATTTGATTTCGAACAATATGATGTATGTGAATCATGGTTGTTGGGAAAATGATTAAGACCCTCTTTAATAGTAAAGCTGAAAGAGCAAATGATTATTGGGACTAATACATAGTGATGTATATGGGCCACTGAATACTCAAGCCAGTGGTGGATTCCAATACTTCATTACATTCACTAATGACTTCAATCGATAAGGGTATATTTATCTTATGTGCCATAAAACTGAAGTACTTGAAAAGTTTAAAGAATTCAAAAATGAAGTACATAATCAATTAGGCAAGAGTAGTAAGGAACTTTAATCATATCCAGATGGAGAATACTTGAGCATAGAATATGATGAACTCCTAAAAGAGTGTAAGATTGTTTCACAGCTTATACCACCTGGTACACCGCAGTGGAATGGAGTTTCTGAGAGAATGAATCAAACACTGTTAGACATGGTTCGATCGATGATGAGTCATAGTGATCTTCTGAATTCTTTCTAGGGAATTGCACTCAAAATATTTGCTTTCGTACTAAATTATGTTCCATCTAAATCAGTTCAAAAGACACCATATGAGAAATGGATTGGGAAGTGACCTAGTACATCTTTTATGAAGATTTAGGGTTGTGAAACTTATGTTAAACACCATATGTCTACAAAGCTCGAACCTAAATCTCATAAGTGTATATTTGTTAGATATCCTAAAAAACAAAAGAATATTATTTCTTCAACCCTAACGAGAAATAAGTGTTTGTTGCTCGAACAATAGTTTTTCTCGAAAGAGAATTTCTCTCAAAGAAAGGGAGGGGAAGAAACATTGAACCTGAAAAAGTTCAAGAAAAAAATATCAATGAACCAAAGGTTAAACAAGTTCCACAAGTAATTGAGGAATACTCAACAGATTTAGAAACACAACAACTGCGGAGATCCACAAGAGAACGCCATATACCTGAGAGATATGAATTTCTCATTACTACACATAGAGACATTCTTCTTATTAATCAAGGTAAGCCTAGAACTTATCAAGAGAGTGTGTTGAGCTCATACTCTAAGAAATGGCTTGAAGCCATGAAAATTGAGATGAATTTCATGTCTTAAGAAGGGTAGGGTGTAAATGAGTTTTAAGAAGAAAACCGACATAGATAGTAATATACAAACATACAAAGGGTTATTGGTTGCTAAAGGTTTTCGGTAAGTTCATGGTATAGACTATGATGAAACCTTCTTTCCTATTGCTTGTTTAAATCTATCTGGGTTTTTCTTGCAATAGATGCATTTCATGATTATATAATATGAAAAATAGACATCAAAACCACTTTTCTTAATGGAAAACACGAAGAGGATGTGTATATGACACAACTAGAAGGCTTTGTTGCTCCAAGAAATTTTGGAAAGGTTTGTAAGCTACAGAGGTCCATTTGTGGACTAAAGGAAGATTCTCGAAGCTAAAACCTTTGTTTTAATCATGCAATCAAAGAGTTTGGTTTTATCATAAATGAAGATGAGCCTTGTGTTTATAAGAAGGCTAGTGGGAGCATTTTTTCCTTCATAATCTTATATGTAGACCACATACTCATCATAGGAAATGAAATACCTACTTTACATTATGTTAATAGTTGGTTAGGTAGTTGTTTTTCTATGAAAGATTTGGGTGAGACAACGTATATCTTAGGAGTTAAGATCTATAATGATAGACCAAGACAACTCCTACGTCTGAGTCAAAGTACAAATATAGACAAAGTGCTAAAAATTATCAGTATGGAATAATCCAATAAAGGATTTTTTGTCTATTAGACATGTTATTTCTCTTTCAAAGGAAATGTGTCCTTCAAATCCATAATAAAGAGAACGAATGAATAAGATTCAATATGCTTCGGCTATTAGTTCTATTATGTATGAAATGATATGTACTCGACCAGACGTATCGTATGCCTCAAGCATGACGAGTCAGTATCAGGTAAATCCTGGTGAAGGTCACTGAGTTATAGTTAAAAATATCCTTAAGTACTTAAGAGGAACTAAGGATACATTTCTTGTTTATGGAGGTAAAGGAGAGCTTAGTGTAAAAGGTTATACTGACGTTAGCTTCCAAATTGACAATGATGACTCACGAACGCAATCAGGTTTTGAGTTTTGTCTTAATGGAGGTGATGTGAGCTGGAAGAGTTCAAAGCAAGACAAAGTAACTAATTCTACAACAGAGGTTGAATACATTACATTCAGTTAAGAAACAAAAGAGGTTGTTTGGATCAGGAAGTTCATATATGAACTAAGGATTATTCTCAACATATTAGATGTTATAGAACTAAATTATGACAATAATGGAGCCATTGCACAGTCAAAGGAACCCATATCTCATCAACGGTCCAAACATATTTTTAGGCACTTCCATCTCATTCAAGAGATCATATCTCAAGGAGATGTGAAGATATGCAAAGTACACATGGATGAACATATTGTTGATTCCCTGACGAAGCCTCTGACACAGCAGAAGTATGATCATCACATTGAGTCATTCGATATTAGATATACGATTGATTGGTCTTAGTGCTAGTGGGAGATTGCTAGAGTATACCCAAGACCAATCATATGATGATTGTATGGACACCTTTTATTTACCGATTTTATTGAATAAAGGCATTGCCACTATTATTTTCAATTATATATTTGTGTCTAACATAAACTGAAAGATAATAAAGTCCATATAATAATATGATTATTATTAAATATCCTTAGTCGAATATTATTATGGGTATGGACAATAATAATATGTTTAAGACTAACGTGTTATTAATTGATGACAATGAATTCTCATTGACATAGAGATGTCTGAATCGATGAATGAATATGTTGTTAGAGAATAACATAATGAATTAACCCACTATGAGCATGTTTCTTGGATTATTATGTGATGGTCACAACATTGCTCATGGTGATGACTATTTTTATGATCCTCAAACTTGATATCATTGCTATCTCAACATATATTGTTAGATGTTTTAATACAGTTAAACATGCTTCGTAACTGGTTGCACTATAAAACTGATATTGAACATATCTTGATATATGTGGTGGGATCTGAATGATTAAGAAAGGATTTTTCCTTCCTACATAATAGAAAATATATCACAAGCCAATTGATTGAGTGAGGCTAAAAATGCATGGCCATGTTCAAATAATTTGATATGAGATATCACAAATTATTCGGTAAATATAGTCTACTCTAGATATCAAGAAATAATAGATATGACATACAAGTGTGACTATTCCAATCCTTGTGCCTATTCTAGATATAATGGACAAAAGGATGAAATACATAAAACAGTCAATCACGAAGATGATATGTCGAATCATGATTTCTTATAACTTAGGTGACAATGATATATTGTTAGATGTCACTCGTTGTTTGTAATGTTAGAATGGTTCTAATAATTACTACTAATGTTACAAGAACCTACAGGGTCACACCCTAAGGGTGAAATGAGTAAATATTAAATTGTACAACATAATTAGAGTTAATATATGAATATTTGATATATATATATATATATATATATATATATATATATATATATAATTTAATTGACCTGAATAAAATAAGTGGACATTAAAAGAATAAAATTCTTATTACAACTCTATTAATGAATATTTAATTTGGAATAGTTCAAGAAGATTTTATTTTGGAATAATTAAAATAAGATTTTAATTAATTCAGAATTAAAAGCCCTAAAGGTTTGGGTAATTCGTGTATATGAAGATAAGATTTGTTCTAGCAACCGTTTCTCCGCCTTTATAGCCGATTTTCTCAAAACCGTTTTTGAGAAAAATAAACAATATTTACTCTAAATTGGGTGAACTAAGTGGAGGCCAATACGTTTTCGTGGAGGCTTGCAATTTGAATCGTTCGTGATCACTATTATCGTTGCTATAATCTTTCTTTTTAATGAACCCAGTGTAAGTAATCATATCATTTTCCTCTTATTTTCAATTTTATCATATATGGATCACTGGTGAGACTGTCATGTTTTTTCTATTATGCCATGGGGTGCACCGACGGTTCAAACACAAGTCACGCGAGGGTTAGCACAAACCTTAATCTGATGCAAATTATGTGTTTGGGTCCATGTTGGGTTTCATGGCTTAGTGGGCTCATGTTGTGTATGGACTTATGGGTTAATGGATAGTTTGTAAATGAAATATTATGAATGGTTTGAGGTTAAAATTTTGTAATGGAACAAAAATATAACAATATGGGCCACAAATGTAATTAGGTGTAAGATTTTAACTTTTAGGGTATAGACCATATGCCATAATGTATGGCCCATAAAGTAGTCAATCTTTATTCCAAGAATTTCAAACATTTAGATGATCACATCTATAATCAAGAAAATCAAAGCATTTGAGCTTCGAATGAAATATGATTTGAAACCCATCAACTTGAATATTTAAAAGCTTAAATGACTCATTTTTCACCATGCCAATACTAACGACTCCAAATTTTTCTTTGATCAACCCATAATCAAATTACTCAGACCAAATTAGGGTATGACAAGTTGGACTAAGGAGATTTTGTGATTATGATGTTGGTAATATATGGTTTTTTTTGCATGTTAATATTATATTGTAAGGTGATCGTGTATGTTCGAGATAGATAAGGTTTAACAAGTGTAATTATCTGGTGTGTATTGTGGGTTAATTGTTATCAAATTGTTAAAGAATTGTAAGGGTTTAATTGCATGCCATTGAGAAAGTTAGCATTGCTAATCATTATTTTAAGTTACGGTCAATGGAATAGTTATGGGATTTGTTTTTTGGTTAAGCGTTCAGTTAAAAGTGTATGGTTTGTTGAGTCTAGGTTAATTGAATTTTGCATTGTGTTCAAATGTTGGGGTGATGATTTTGTTTCGGTATTGGTGGTGTTTTGAGCTTTAGAAACAAATTGTTTGTGTGATAATTTTGCATTGGGGTTGTGAGGTTGAACTGAGGTACTCATAGGTTATTGGAAAGGATTATTGTGGAGTTTAGGAGATTTATTATAGTGGTGTAGTGAAAGCATGGTAGTCTGGGTTAGGTTGTGAATTTTGGGATTTTACGTTTGTAAGATGTTTTTTATGGATTCATATCATAAATTGTTCGTACTGAAATTGGGTAATGTTTTTGAGAGGCTTTGTTCACAAATTTGAACTCTGGGTTGTATCTCATTTGTGGTGATCAGTTTGAGTTTTGTAACGTAAGTGATGAAAGGTAGGTCTGAGTTCGTATTAATATTTTATGGTTTTTTAATGCTAAAAAGTTATGTTTAAGGTTTGTAAGTGTTGTATTATGTTGGTTTTGGTCTAGCGATAATGGTGGTGTGTTATTGTTTTTGGTTTAGGTTTGCAAAGTCGAGAATGAGTGAAATTGTCTCCAAGCTAGTTAAGGTTATGGTTGGTTATTAGTGGTTCTGCAATGAAATATGGTGTTGTGAGATGGTGTGTCGAATTGGTTGTTTTATTTCCTTGAAGGTTTTTATTTTGGAAGGACATTTGAGTTGTGATTCTTTAATGGTGTATTAGACAAGAGGTTATTTGGTTCATATGTGGTTATTATGCACATTGGTTTTGTGCACCTTGGATCTCTGTCTGATACTATGGAAACTACTCCATGCAATCGAACTATCTCCTTGATGTATAGATCTGCATACTTATCCATTAAATAATCCATTCGAACATGAATGAAGTGCGTGATCTTAGTTAATCTATCCACAATTACCCAAATTGAATCCTTTTTATTTGGTGTCAATGGTAATCCCGTTACAAAATCCATCGTAATTCTTTCCCATTTCCACTAAGGAATGGAAATCGGTTGTAAAAGTCCTAAAGGTACTTGATGTTCCGCTTTCACTTGTTGGCAGGTAAGACACTTTGCAACAAACTCTGATATTGCTCTTTTCATGCCTGGCCACCAAAATCGCCCTTTCAGATCTTGATACATCTTGTTCCCTCCTAGATACATAGTCAATGGACTACAATGAGCTTCTAACAGTATATCTTTCTTTAGCTCTTCATCATTTGGAATACAAATTTTATCTCTATAATATAAACATCCATCTGACTTTACCTCGAAGTCTTTAATTTCACCTTTTTACAATTGTTCTATTTTTATTAAACACTTATCATCTTTCCTTTGAAATTCTTTTATCCAATCCAAGAGTAAAGGTTTTAGCTTCAATTCAGCCATTAGAGCACCATTGTCTTTTAATGCAAGTCGGGCATCTAACACGTATAGAGCTACAAAAGTTTTTAAACTAAGAGCATCACCTACCACGTTAGCCTTCCTAGGGTAATAGTCTATAATTGCATCGTAGTCTTTAAGTAGCTCAATCCATATCCTTTGTCTCAGATTTAGCTCTTTTTTAGTCAGCAAATATTTCAAACTTTTATGATCTGTATAAATGTAACAATGCTCACCATATAAATAGTGGCGCCATATCTTCATTGCAAACACCACCACTGCTAATTCAAGATCGTATGTTGGATAGTTCTTCTCATGTGTCTTAAGTTGTCTCGAAGTATATGCTATTACTTTTCCATCTTGCATCAAGAAACATCCCAGACCATTATGGGAAGCATCACTAAAAATTGCATAATCCTTGCTCGATTCTGGTTGCACTAACACTGGACCTTCCGTTAGTACCTTCTATAAAGATTTAAAACTTTCTTGGCATTTATCCATCCAATTGAATGGAACATCTTTCTTTAATAGCTTTTTCAATGGGGAGGAAATCATCGAAAAGTCCTTAACGAACCTTTGAATATCCAACCAAGCCCAAAAAACTCCGTACTTCCGAAACATTTCTTGGGACTTCCCAATCAAATATAGCTTGAATCTTCTGAGGATCCACCTGAATACCCTCTGTAGAAACCACATGTCCAAGAAATGCAACTTCAGATAACCAAAAATAGAACTTAGACAACTTAGCATGAAGCTTTTAATCTCACAGTGTTTAAAGAATCACCCGCAAATGGGATTCATGCTCCTCATTTGTCTTTGAATAAACCAAAATATAATCAATGAAAACGACCACAAACTGATCGAGATAAGGTTAAAACACTCTATTCATGAGGTCCATAAATGCAGCTAGTGCATTGGTTAAACCAAATGGCATAAATAGGAATTCATAATGACCATATTGAGTCCTAGAAGACGTCTTTGGAACGTCCATTTCTTGAATCTTCAATTGGTGGTAGTTAGAACGCAAATCAATCTTGGAAAACACCAAAGCTCCCTTGAGTTGATTAAACAAATTGTCAATTCTCGAAAGAGGATACTTTTCTTTATGGTCACCTTATTGAGATGTCAATAATCAATGCATAGACGCATCGAAATCAACTTTCTTCTTTACAAATAATACTGGTGCACCCCAAAGTGATACAGTGGGTCTGATAAATCCTTTATTCAATATCTCTTGCAATTGGATCTTTAATTCACTCAGTTTCTTTGTTGCCATTCTATAAGGAGGTATCGAAATTGGGGTTATTCCCCGCATAACCTCAATTTGAAACTCTACTTCTCTATTTGGAGGTAATTCTGGTAACTCAGCTGGAAATACGTCTGGAAATTCTCTGACCGTCGGAATGTCCTTGAGTCCTCTCTCCTTGACTCGAGTACCAATTACATTGGCTATGAAAACTTGACATCCTCGTAAAATTAACTTCTTAACCAAAATTAATGATATCACTTTAGCTAAAGGATTGAGTCTCTCAGTGACCACTTTTATTCCTGATCCATCAGGACTTCTTAAAACAACTCGCTTTAATCGGCAATCAACATTGGCATGATAATGATACAGCCAATCCATTCCCAAGATAATCTCAAACTCGTCAAAGGGCAATTTCATTAGATTGGCAAGGAATTCAATTCCCTGAATCCATATAGGACACCCTCGACAAATCTGTTTCACCTAAGCATTATGCCCTAATGGGTTAGTCATAATCACCTCACTACTAATAGATTCTAATTGAATTATCAAATCTTCCACCAGTTTACTACTAACATAAGAATAAGTTGATCCTGGGTCAATCAAAACCAAAATAGATTTATCAAACAATTGGAAGGTACCTCCAATGATCTCTGAATCATCACAATCCTCAGTAGTCTTAAGGTTGTACACTCGAGCAGTGGAACGTATTTCAGGTTGAGTGGTTGACTCAAACTGATTTCTTCCTCGGCCTCGTCCTCTACCTCTCTGAGGTACAGTAGCATATATCTCTATTTGTGTAGGCTCTACGGTCCTCAATGGGTAATCCCGGATAAAATGTCTTGTCTGCCTACATTTAAATCATTCTCCGGAGACTCTTCGACATATGCCACTATGTTGTTTGCCACAATGCTAACATTGAGTTAACTTTTCCACTCCTGATTCAACTGATTGAATCTGCTTAGCTCTCACAAGATTAGATCCTCTACCTGAGAATGTACTTGACTTTGATCTAGTCTGAGGTCGAAAACTCGAACCTCAATTTTTCTTCGATTATGATGCACTCGTCGAGGTACCCGCTCTCTTATGTCACTGGGTCCTCTGCTCCCCATATCTTTCATTTTGATCTCGCTCTAAGGCTTTAGCTCGATTCACTACCTCTTGAAATGTGGAAAGGTTGAGTGAAAATAATAGCTCTTTCAATCTAGGGTGTAAACCCTCTACGAACCAATCAGAAGAATCTTTTTCCGTAGGAACCAACTCCACTGCAAATTTGCTTAACTTATTAAATTAGCACTCATACTCATATGTAGTGTGTGATTCCCTTATTTCAAACTCATACATTCTTATTTCATTTGACGGATGAACTGATCGCCTATATACTTGTTCTTGAATTCTTCCAAAAAGAATGACCACATCACTTGATATTTAGAGGTCTCATTGTCACATTGGTTCCCATATTCGTGCTTGTCCTCGTAGCAATGAAATTACTCCATCCAGCTTCTCTATCTCAGAACAATGGAGACCATTTAGCATTATCTTCCCATCGTTTAACCAAAGGTCCGTAGAAACAGGACCTTCCTCAGCTTTTCCCTTAAATTCAGGTGCTCCTAAACTTCTTAGATCCTTAGCCACATTCATCTTAGGAGCTGAGGCAGCAGACAGTTGGAAATGCATCATAATTGTATCCAACATCTGGAAAAAGGTCCCTTGATCTTGTATAAGCACTCCCTGAGGTGCCTGTTCTTCACCTTGCCGACTTGGGGAAGGTGAATTACTGCTACCCTCATTTCTATCTCTCGATTCACTTCAGAAGCCCTCGTAGTCCTACATCTATTTAGATAAGATCATTATTCTATCAGTAAGGACAGCATACTAATTACCTTATCAGATTATAGATGTTTAACTTTTAGTTGGCATGTACACTTTTTAAAACAAAAACTGCTTCATTTCGAACTTAAAATCAGTTAAACCATAATTCTGATACCAATATATGTAACACCCGTACCCGACTCGGATACGAATCTAAGGTGTCACATTAACTTTTCAAAACTTTACTCTTTAAAAGTTCATATAAAATTTAAACTTTTAATTGTATTTGAGTGATGAAACCTTTATAAAAAAAAATTCTATTAAAAATTCATAATAAAAATAAAACACGATAATTTACATAAATATAAAGGTGTATGTTTACAAAATGGATCAGAGCATTTCAATTTTAAAACTTTGTAATACATACCAACAATTTACAAAATAACAAGAAACCTACATTCAGATTGTTCTGATCTGATCCTCTTCGGTAGTATGTTGTCCTCTCCTAGCTTTAGTCCTCAGATTTATTTGAACCTACGTGTAAAACAATCACATGCTAAGTCGTTGACTTAGTGAGGCAAGTACGAGTATAATAAAACATTGTAAAATATTTTCTTATTCATCTCAAAGAAAACATTTCATAAGGAATTCAATTTACATGTCATAACAAGAATGTATACTTTTACACATTGTTCGGTTTATATCACTTTGTTTTTAATAGCCCAATGAATACTACTGATAAATCTACGTAATTGAGTACATTGAGGTTGTGCAATAATATAGTCACCACTGCTCACATAATTTGCACCGAAGTACCACATATTTGTCCTAAATAACCACATAGGTTTGCCCCAAAGGACCACATATGTTTGTCCTAAAGGACCACATAAAACCCTCGACTCTTGGCATGCTAACTATACCTCTAATTCTCATACATATACCTTGGGCTTTAAGAACATAATTATTTCTTGTTTCATTATTCAAAGTGTGTCTTATTCTCATAAAGTACATTCACATATAGGTCATTTTCACGTATATCACTTTCTCTTAGCACATAGATTATTTTCAAATAAAACATGATCATATACATATAGAATCAAGACAATACTATCAAAAATACACTTTATCTAAAGCAAAATAAAAATAATTGCATAAAATAAATAAATTGTTTTCGATCAAAATCTTCGAGGGCTTATCGCAAGCCGTCCTCATCTATAATATAAAATTAATGAGTTGCACTCACATTTGCCTCACGTAAGTCCTAAATGGAATCCTTTTCCTTTCATTCAATCTCGTACTATATCAATTCTTTCGATACTATTTCGATCCAAATCTACATATCAATATGCCCAAGATCAATAACAAATTTTCATTAATGGTTCATCATTTAGCAATTACATGAACGGAACAACAACTCTTAATTTCAATTTCAGACTGAATAGTATCGGTACCCCCTACAGTGTCAATACTTCTATTCTATGATACCGATACCCACTTCAGTATCGATACCATTTAGCATTCTGGAATTCCAATTTTGATTACCTTATCGATACCTTCCTCTTGGTATCGATACCTCCACATCATTATCGATACTCTTCAAATCAGTATCGATACTGATCATCAAATTCATCCCTTTTCCAACAAATTACCCTTATAATATTGGCAATGTTCTTCCAGTACCGATACCCTAACCTATAATTCATATTTTTCACTTTGAATTTTTCCAAAATTTCACCTAAATCTCATAATTTTAACTCCAAATAAGCCCTTATACTCTTTAGCACTTATACCATACAACTTATGTCCATTAATCCTCTTATAACATCTAAATTTCTCCATAGAACACTTAGAACTAAAAATCACACCAAATATTCAAACATGTTCTTACTTCTTTCTAATACTTCTAACTTATTAATTAAACCCTTGACAAGCCAATTATGTCATTAGAAATCCAAATACTACTCAATCTCATCCAACCCATTTTACTAATCCATTAATAATTCACTAATGACTTATTTTTTATTCAACCTTAAGCTTTCCTTAAGATTATATATCACTCACGGCTTCAAAACCAATCCAAAATTTGAAGAAACAACCAGCTTGAAATCAACTTACCTTAACAATGGAGTTCACAGTGTAAGAAGTGAAGAAAACCAAGCTTCCAGATTTTTCTCCCTTTCTCTTTTCCTCACATGCTAAATATCTCTTAAAAATGAATTTTAAATTCAGTTCCTGCTAAAAGACCTCTTTTCCCTTCCATTCTTCCATCTTTGCTAATAATTCATAAACACAAATTTTTTAAATTAGTCCTTGAACTTTTCAACTTATTTCAATTAAACCATTAAATTTTAAATTCTTACATTTTAGTCACTGGCCCGCTTTTTAGGGTATTACAGAAATATTTTGAAAGTCATATGACATATGTGACTTGTGTACGTAGATGTATACGAGAAATGTGTTACACCACCTCTTGGATATTTCATTGGTTCTATTGACTCAACACATGTGTAGGTCATTTCTTACGTTTTCTTGCTTGTATGAGTTCATTGAGTACGTTATGCAAAATTCGTATGGTCATGGTTTTAGATACTTTTTAAGATATATGAAGCATGCTAAATGACACATTAGGATCCCCTACAACTCCTATAAGTCGTACATAGCATTTAATAATCTTAGGGGAAATGGTTAGATTGGAGGTTTTATTTTCGTGAAAATAGAAGTTTTCTGGGCTTGAGTATCAGTATTGGAAGAATAATAGTAATATTGTTCTTTGTGTAGATAAAAACAAAAGTGATTTGAGCTTAGGGTATTGATACTCGTACATGAGGTATCGATACTGCCCCATGAGTATCAATACTCTGGGGTTAAAATCGATATTGATATAGTCATTTAGATTCTAGTAGTCACTTTTGGTCTCAGTACTCATGGGAGTATCGATAATCCCAGTAAAAGTATCGATACTAAGGGTTATTTTCCAAAATATTGAACCTATTTTTGGTATCGATACTCAAGTTAGTATCGATACCCTAAGGCCAGTATCGATGCTATGTGACCCCAGAGGCGACCTAGGTATTGGGCAATGAGGACATTTCTAGGTGAAGACTCCGATGTTGTGTGACCCGGGTCTTATCTAGGGTACCTTAAGTAGGATAGAGGGGTGTGAGTCCTAAGATGCTATGTGACCCTCCAACTACACCATGATGCCTACATTTGTCTTGTATTGGATTGATTGCATGTTCAAGCTTATACTCGTTTGCATGCCCATATAATGAATGCATATAGTATGTTAAAGTTATTTGTGTGGCACTGAGCTTGTGATCTCATTGCTACTAGCAAACTTCCAGCCTGGATTATTTTATCAGAGTATATCTCGGATACTTAGTGGTGGCATGTACTTCGCAAGGACCTTAGTGTTATTTGAGTTGCAAACTGTATTTATTGAAGTTATGTATTTTGATTTTACGATGGAGCTCCTATTTTGTAAACACTAAATGAGAATGTTTCAAAATCATGTTTATTTTTATGAGTTGGATTTAATCTTTTTGATTGTCATTTTAAACAAATATTTTGGGTTAGCCACTTTGGTGGTCCCGTGTAAGGTTCTAGTCCATCGATCATCGGGTCGGATCGAATTAAGATGTTACATATTTTGAGTTACAAATATTTATTGAAGTGCATTTAAATATGTACCCATAATTATGGATTTTAATCCAACAATCAGATGTTTTCAAGCTAAAAAAAGCGATGTTCCAGATGTTAAACCAACGTTTCCAATAAAGACAGTTGACAATGGCACCTCAAGTTGTAGAATGTTTCATTTTCTTTCGTACACAATGCACATAAAGTTGAGATTATACCAATGGAACCACGTTTTCCTAGTTCAATTCTTGTAGGAATTCAGCCATGTACAGCTTTTTCGACACGAATGTGTCTACCTTAGGAAGAGCCACCTTGGACCACACCGATTTCCATATATCTTTGAATTCAACATCGACTAGACTCACTAATAGGCAATAGTCCTTCGATTTGTACCAAAATGAGGATGATCCACACCACCGAACGCAAACGATTTTTAAACAGTTATCTGGAGTTTGTACCATGGAGAAATTTAAAGGATTCCCAAATACGGAGTTCTCAATCAAAAGGATGCCTGCGAAGAACCACATTTCATTGCCAAATACTTGCAAATTTAGAGCCAATGTCAACCACCTTACCTACTTTGTAAACTACCAAGGCGAAAACTCTTGAGAATGATAATTTCAGAGGAGCAATCGTCAATCCAAATATTAATATTTTTACCATCACCTAATGCACAACGTAATTGGTTGAAGAAAAGATCATTTACATTGAGAATGGGTCGGGATATTCCTTTCCAAATCTACTTGGTTGCACAATGAACACAGGGTGTAGGCAGAAGTGCTGATGGATCATGCACGTATTTAGATTCAATTACTTTTGTCCATAAGCTGGATTTTTCACATTCATACCTCCATAGTTATTTGTTTAACATGGCATTATTTTTAATATTGATATCGATAATTCCTAAACCCCCGCAAGAATAGGTTTGCTTAAAGTCTCACATCTAATACATAGCTGAGGCACTCCAAATGAACCTGGCAATCATCCTATTCAACTTGTCCTGAATAACTTTTGGTATTTAAAATATTGAGATATAATAGATCGAATGATTGACTAGAACTGATTTTACCAGTGTTATCCTGCCACCGAAAGAGAGAAATTTTGCCTTCCACGTAGGGGTAAGCAAAACTCGACTCGGCTCGACATGAAAAAATTTCAAGTTCAAATCGAATTGTAAAATACAACTCGAATAACTCAAAATTTTTAGTACACTACAAGAAAAAAAACCCTTTAATGGCGCGCATTGCGCGTCATCTATGGTTGCAGATGACACAAATCCGCATCGTTGAAGCCACCGACATAAATGTCAGATGACGCGCATTTACGACATACATTTATGACGCTCATTTATGGTGCTCATTTATGACGCGCATTGCGCGTCATTGAAGCCCCCGTCATAAATGAAGATGACACACATTTGTGTGTCATAAATTTATGACACGTATTTATGACTTACATTGCGTGTCATTGAAGCACACGTCCTTAAAAAAGATGACACACATTCGTGTGTCGTGATTGTATGTTGTAAATTATATATATATATTTATATATTGTAGATTGACAAATAATCAAACTAAATCACATTTAATGCCTCATAATACTAAATATATATATCATATTATATATAAGCAATCCATTTGTATACAATATATTAACATTAAGTTATCAAAAATACTGTAATCATATGTCGATTCAAAATATCACGGCATAATAAAGTTTGCCACATAAGATGCCCATTCTTTGCGAATATCATCAATGTCATCATTCGTGTATTCTTCCTTCCCATCGCCAACCTAAGTAAAAAATATAAAATAAGTATATAATTTATACTTATTTAAAGTGAAGTATATAACTATCAAAGAGTACTAAAATGACCAATTTTACATATGCATTCTTTGAAGCATATGTAAAAATAAATTTTACACATATAATTAGTAAAACTTCTCATATAAATTATATACATTATCACGGCACAAATTCACAGTTTTCAGTCTTGCTAACAAGTACTTGCATTAATTTGTTTAGAATAGCATCCTACTTCAAGTCCATATGATATGTATGATATGACAGATGTGTATCAGAAAAGTTTGCTGACATTCTTATTGACCAACACTTCAAGTCCGTTCTCGACTATCTCTTTCATGAACTTACAAACATAATATCCACACTCGGTACCAACTGACTGACAAGGAAACTACAAACATAATATCCAAATTAAGTTACTAAAATATATTAATAATCAAATGAAAAAACAAACCCGGGATTATATGGCACTAGGACGATGTCATTGTCCTTTCTTAGAGACAATCGATCTGCAACGCTTCGAATATTTGAATAATAACATATTTAAAATCATATTTGAATAACCCTTTCTTTTTTGTGCTAAAATCATATTTAAATAACAGCAAACCAATATTTGAATAATAACATGAAGATATAAACACATGATTCTCTCTGTTTTCTTTCCAGGAAAGACATTCTTCCAATATCAGACTCGGTTTTCTACATGTAGAATGAAAAGAAAATTTAAGTATGAAAAACTCTTTTTATTCACATTTTTCAATTCAAAGTTGGGCCTCAATGCCTTCTCCATGCCTTTCTCATATGAGCAAAAGCTAACTGTATGTTTCTAAAACTACAACTATAAAGGTAACCATGCCAAACCTCCAGGAAACCATTTAATAACCATAAAAATGCAGCTCAAATTCACACAGTACTTTTGATCATGTATTCTAGAAACATACATACTCGGATTTCCATAAAAGAAAACACGCATCAGAATATATATTGAAGACAACATACGATATAAGTCAAATTTGAATAAGGTATAGCTTACCTCCTAATTTCAGCAAGGCCAAAGAGAATAATAAAAGTACAACCTCGCAGCTAGGACATCGAGGGTCCTCCTATTCAGATTCTTTAGCCGAGCAATGCTTGTAGAGGAGCATGCTTTTGTCTTAAACGAGATAACATTATGTACAAAGAAACAAGAAACGTCCTAATGAAGTCATTTGCTAATGTACCTCATTGTATTTTTATTGATCAATCAGAAATATCAGGACAAGCAAGTAGCAGTAGATTTCTAG